AACCCCCCCCCCCCCCCCCCGCCTCTCCAGCCCCTATCCTTCTACGTGGCCGTCAGCGTATGCACCCGGTGGTCATCAATGATTCGTCGACGACGGACTTGTGATGAATTACCGCGCACAAGGCCGTTGGCCGGGCAGCTTGCCTTCGAGATAATGGGCGGGCCCAAAAAAAAAAAATAATAATAATAATAATGGGCGGGCCCGCCGCACTGCTCGCGGAATGTGAAAAATGCCGCGTGCATCATGACAAAGCCTACGTAGCTCAGGGCACGCTCACACTGCGATCCCGAGGCCCGATTTGGGGTTTTAGTGGTGGCGTTGGTCGCACCGTGTCCCCAATTCGGAAAAGACACGGTCGCGGCCGCCACACGATTTTGGGAAATGGGACTCGGGCAGTCACACGGCACCGACCCCAATTTTGCAACTGTTTTTTTTTTTCTTTTTCTTTTTGCCTTCGGATTTGCCGCCCCTTCGCACCAAGGGGAAAGGCTTCACATGCCGCTCCTTGCACCGATGTCTGCCAATAGAGCTCGCCCCCTGGAGCACGGTTCCACTATAGCAAAGGAGTAAGGTAAACTGTGTCCCACAAACACGGGTGGGACATCTGCGGGGCATCGTCCGACCACTGATGCAGAAGAATCCTATGGCAGCAAATTGCGATGGATTTATATTCTGAAGTGGTGTTTTTTTTTTTTTTTTTTGTGCTTTTCTTTTCAGTTTTGAAAAATGCGAGGCGGGAAAGGAAAATAGAAAGACTTAGGCACTGTAAAAGGCTAATTCTTTGAAGTTTGGGCTTTGTAGTGTTCGGGTCTTTCCATTCTTTTCCACAAAAGTTAGGGGACCTTGTCCCACTTGCACCTTTTAGTTGAGGGACCTTGTCCCACTTGCACCGTTTAGTTGAGGCAGCTCAACGGTGCGACAGCTAAAAAAAAGTCATTTTAATTCAATTTCAAATGAGAAATGCATTTATAAATGGCACGAATACAATTGTTCTGGCTTTTCTTTTTTCACAATTGGAGTGGCATACGGGCACTTCCACAGTGGAAAATGAACAGTTGCCAGAATCTCGTCCAAAAATGGCAAACGGAAGGAGGCTCGTACAGTTTCTCTTGAAAACCGCCTTTTGGGGGAACAAGAGGGTCGTTGAGCTAGCTGTCTCGAAAAAGGGAGACAGCTAGCTCAAGGGAAAGTGGCCAGGGTAGGGGGAGTAGTTTTTTTTTTTTTTGGGGTGATCACAACTGTCTATAGTCTTCTCTCAACTTCTGTTTGTTTACCTTCCACTACCTACTCCTAAGACTATCTAGAGGGGACCCCTGCAAGCATAGTTTTCCTCTCTCTGTGAAGGGGAGATTTCATGTTGCCCCTTGTTGGAGAGAAAGGATTTGCTTCTGCTTTTTGTTGTAAGAAAAAGCAAAGCAAAGATAGTCTCTATTGTCTTTTTTATTAAGAACAGACCGCTAGATGACTTGGACGACGTGCATCTTCGTTGTCGCCTACAGTCACACATAGTCGAAAGCCCAACGTTGACCTAGCTCAACGGAGCTAGTGGGACAAGGTCCCGGGTCGCTACAGTGCCCGAACTTTTCCAGGCCGCCGGGTCTTTCCATTCTTTAAGTTCGGGTCTTTCCATTCTTTTCCAGGCTAATTCTTTAAAGTCCGGGCACTGTAGCGTCCCTCAAAATCAAAACATACGAACTGCACGCTTCAGCATGGCAACCGGGGGAGCAGGGGGAGGAGACGGAAGGGTTAGTGGGACCGCAGCACTTTCAAAAGTCGGCCTCCCTCGCATCTTGGGAAATGTAACGTCGCCATTTAAAATTACTTTTCTTCCTTTTCTTACAGTGCCGCACAGGTTTAAATAGGCCATGTTTAAATAGGCCAGGACTCGTGTGCTAGTGGAACCGTGCCCCTGGTGCTATCACAGGAAGGCAGGAGCTGCTCGTAAGAATTCCCAAAGAGGAGGCCTCCGTCCCGCCATGCCGGATCACCCTGCAAACAACTCCGAGTGCACGTGCATCAGCACGCGAGTCACTTCCTCCTATTGCACTGTTGCCGTGAAGCGGCAAGATACAGCCTCTAAACTCAAACAGGCGGCATCATCCTACCTGTGGAAAAATGACCACAATGATATCCACTCTTTAAAGAGGGTGGCTTGGGAAACCATAATACAACCCAGATCTCAAGGCGGACTGGGAATCATAGACCCGGAGGAAGAAATTAAAGCTCTCACCTTCAAAGTTTTAGTACGGCTCCTCCTTGGAAATAATATTCCCTGGGCCGCCTACGCTCAAATCCAGCTGGCTTGTCTGGCCCCCCCATCTCATCCCCTCCATCCGGTGCACCCGCTCCAATGGCTAACCAACAGCTACTGGTCCACACCTCGCTGTCCCCGCACAAACACAGACGACACCCCTGCAAGGCTCGCCAAACAAGACTTGAGGGTGGACCCGCTCTGGACAGCCATGATCACTTTGTGGAGAGAAAGGGGCCCGACCCAAACAACCACACCGCTCAAATGGGAGGAAATCTGGCGCCAACCGCTGTTTGGCCATCTGCAGATAGTGGACCAAACTGATCTACCCCTTTCACTCAAGGGGAATTCCAAGTGGAAACAATGGGTAAAGAAAGGAATATACAAAGTGGGGGACCTATGGGATGACCTGGCTCACTCATGGTATCCGCTGGAATGTCTCATGGCCAAAACTGGTTAGATCCCAAACATGGCCTAGGGATTACAAGAAATTCAGGAATCGATCCCTTTGGCATGGCTCCGAGTCTTGAAACAGGGCCCCCGCCTGGAGGAGGATGACTGGGTGGTGACGACGGAATCCATGATCCTACCCATGATTTTGTATAGCGTACAAAACACTGCGGGCCTGCAGGTATCTCTTCAGGCATACTGTGACGAACCACTTACTACGATGCGCGATTTTCTGCGCGATTGCAATGAGGGGTCCTAAGCTGGGAAGGTTGGGCCAATTACGGGAGATCGGGATCGGTGGGAAATTGCATCGGTGTCCTCGCTTTTTCGTCTTTTTCGCCGCCTCTTTTTTGGATGACTGGGTTCGGAACTGGGTGTGTCCTGGGAGGATCGGTTGATTGGTTTGTCGGAATGTTGGCGCGCCGCCGTGCGCGCGATTAATAAATGTTGACGTCGTTTCTTTTTTTGTTGTTGGTTTTGAACTTTTGGGTGCGGACATCGCGCGGGAATTTGCTTCGTTCTTTTTGAATTCTCTTTCTGAA